AGAGCTGAATGGTCAACAAATAATGATTTTTTGCACTAACAAACTCAGTCCACACCACGACAAAGAAAGATGGTGGAAGAACAGCGGCTGACAGCAGTATAATATGTAGCCAGCGATATACGCCGCTGTACTCAAGCACGTGACAAGTTACCGAAACGAAAATATAGGTCCGTTGTGCATACTAATACCCTAATGTTACACAAACAATCTTCTTCAAATGTCTCGATAAACGTATGTTATCTTGACGACACACTACACATCGAGACATGGGACGTAAGGACCATTTACGAACATGCTATAAAAACATTATTACAACGAAGACAGTAGGATATGGTGGCGCAGGGCAGGGAACGTCAAAAGACTCCCACCGATGACCTATACGCTAGGAGAAGTTAAAGGCCTTAAGCAAGTTAGACGGTATTCAAGGGTGTGCAACTTACTTCCCAAAACCCTTACCCTATTTATGACCAAAATCTGCGATTTTCCCCAACCTTATTTATGACCTGAAAAAGTAACTTCTTCTAAAAAACATTCCCAGTTCAAGTCGTTCAAGACTAGAGCACAAAAACCATGCCCTACTTATGACCAAAATGACCAAAATCGATGCCCTTTTTATGCCATTTAGGGCCGCACATACTTATATAGCCCATATAAGGGACTGAGTAATGCCCTTCCCCCGGAAGGTACCCGTGGGCTTCTTAATTCGACCTGATATGAAGTTTCAACGCTTGTTTTCTTTCATCCAGTATTCCAAGAATAAATTGCGATATGTCCAGACGCATATGCTGTAGTCAAGTTTTTATCAAACCGAGTTCCTCCTTGTCTTCGAGAATCTAACAGGACTATCCAAGGGAATTCTTCTGCAGTCGATCACTACAGGAAGGAACAACATTCAACGAATCTCACAAACCCGTAGCACTGGTAGTGTCAATCTTTAAATCACTCTGAAAACGTAAAGTTACTGATTTCAACTGACTTTGGCTTGGATTCCACTTCCATCCCAGACGTTAAAAAGGTCGTAAAACAATAGTCTGTCCGACCGGCGCCCGCGGTAAGGAAATTTTTTCTTTGGTTTGAAAGTTTCTCAAAGTTTGGTAGCAAAGTCTCTTTTTTTCTATACATTTAAAAGCTTTGTTCTTTCAATTCAAAAGTTGTCAGTTTTGCGCGGAATAGTTCCTAAACCGACGACGTAAACAAGATACATATCTTGAAAATACAAATCATATTTCACCCTCAGTCCCAGGCGCTCCCTCTTTTTCTCTCTTGACGTGACGTGACGAGGTTTCAGATATCTCTGCAATCTTCTAATGTCAGTGCCACCTACCCTACGTCACAACCTTCAATAGGACCGCAAAAGAGCCGGTATTGGCATTGTGGTTCCTATCTCTACGTGATGATCGTAAACTGCTGCGACTGAACACGCACAAAGGTCGCTTGCAATTTTGATCAACTTTGCCCTATGGTGAAGATGTGCTTGACGATACCTGTTGCACGAAACATTTCCCATTTAAAAAGCTACCATATCAGGACATATATTTCTGTTGCAGAACATCACAGTGTCAGCATTTTATTCTAATTTAAAATGCCACAAGAGTTAACGACCAATGAGGAGGTTGAATGGCTCACTCTTGCCACATAGAGTACAGCCATCATTTGACTTTTCGAAACAATCAGGACATAGCTATAACCAAATGTAGCTAAATGTTCAACTATTGAGGAGGCTTTTCTTCGAGCCAAAAGAAAATGGAAACCATAATTGATATCGAGTTTAATATCGAGTTGTTCCTGTTGATGAGATGGTCGTAAAACGCGATATGCCGCGACATCCAAGAATCTGTACCGGTCAGTTCTGATTGGCTAAAAGTGCGTTTTGCTAGGTTTAATTATCTAAAAGCACAGCGGAGAAACATATTTTATTACTCCTCGTGCGTGCATGCTTATGTGTGAAACGTGATTTTGACTTCTTTTCGTGTCGAGTAATCTTGTGTAATTATGTTCCGGCTGAAGGCTTGGGCCCTATCCACACTACGCCGGAGAAATTTGAAAACGCACTTTATTTTTATGGTTAGGCCTACAGTCCACACTAATCCATCACGAAAACGGAGCTTTTCGAAAACGCTCGTCAAACCGGAGGAATTTGAAAACGCCGGCTTTGCGTTTTCGCTTGGACGGAAAATATTTTTTGAAAACGATGACGTCACGATAATCACGTGATTTCCCTGACCGAGTTTTCTTCAAACACAAATCCAAAATGACCGGCGATTGTTACGTTTTCAAATTTCTCCGGCGTGGTGTGGACGGAAAATTACACTGAGTGAGTGAAAATTACACACACGCAGCGTGGGCGGTGCCTTATAATCAAGACAACTAGTCTTCGATCGCAAGCCGTCAATGGTGGCGGAAAATATGGGTTCGGAGAAAATCTCAACTGATTATTAGGTTTATTAGGTTCTTATTTCTTGTTTTGTAACTCTTAATTAACCGCAGGTCCACATCAGCTTATGCTGCCTATATACCGACCTGCCTAAACAAATAAGTGATGTATGTATGTCTGTCTGTCTGTCTGTCTGTCTGTCTGTATGTATGTATGAATGAGAAACAAAACAAACTTTAATTTTTTTCCTCGGTCTTTCTATGCCTAAAACTTTTCTGAGCTCGAAGTTTTAAATCCTGCATTGGCACTGACCAGCATTTAAGATCCCATCACTGCTTTTCATGTCTTCTATCAAGTTCCATCACGTCCAGAAGAATTTGCATTTTTGAATAGTTTTTTTCAGACATTGCTTTGCTCCCTTCTTCATAGGAAGTATTAATCCACTTATCCAGTCCAGGAAAATGGCCAAAATGGCTCGACACGATTGGTCGAGAGTGCACTCGAGACGAACCATCACAGAGCCATACTGGCCGAGAAGGACTAAAAACAAGTAAAGTCGGGAAACTCCCACACTTTAAATTATTTTACCGTTTGCTACAATAATACCTTTTTCAAAGCTTGATGATGAAGGTTACTCAGTTAATAAGTGAAAATTAGGTGAAGAAAGTTCGTTTGTCTGACTGGTTCCCTGAGTAGTCCGAATATTGCAATACACGCATTGCTGAGATGGACCGATCGGAAATAGTTTCGCCAAGTTGTCTTTCCAAAACATTGTGCACAAAGGAAAACTGTTTCGTCTTAACTAGAAATATATTTTCTTTTATGTCTGGAGGATAATTTTGAGTTGAACTTTCCAAAAAAGGGCCAGAGAAGTCAAATCAGGATATACGAAGTCTAAAGCTCGGTCCATAAACTTGCCAAAACACAACTCCACCAATATTTCCCCAACATACTGCATTTACTAGCCTGTAAGAGCATCCGGTTTTTTCGGCTCTTGTTTCTAGCTTTTTCTGACCGCGTGAAACAAGAGCTAAAAAAACCGGATGCCCTCGCAAGCTACCCCAATACGGACCTCACGCTAGTTCAATAAATATGGGTTATTGACCAAGCGTGAGGTCAAGATGGCTGGATATTGACCAAGTTCCTTTTTTTTTGCGTGTTTATGGAACGAAACGGAGTCGAGGTCTACAAACACGCAAAAAAAAGAACGAGGCCAATTTACAGCCATCTTGACCAAACAAGCTTGGTCAATAAAGAATTTGTTATATGGAAAAAGATCACTATTTACTTGCGGAACACAGCGGGAAATCCCGAGCGGGCAAGATAGCGCCATCTTGCCCGCTCCGGTAGCCAATCACAGAATTCGGTTCTTCTTGCCCGCTCACAGAGCGAACCATATAAATAACATACATTTTTAAATTAATAGTATAAGCCGATATGGCTAGTCTCTTGCTAGTTACCATCAGCAACGTGAAAACAAACCCAGTTCGCAAAAACCCTGGGAACGAGGTTGCCTAGAAACAATAACATAAACGTCATAATTCACAATTTGAAAAATGTAAGAGAAACGTTTCAATTTGAATAGAGAAGAAATACTGAATACATAAACAACAGCCTCCATTTGGTGCGGAAATATGCTCGGATATTTGTCCGCGGACATTATCTGTTCCGAGAATCGAACAGTTTTCTGAGAGCGTAGCTCGAGGAAAACTGTGAGCTTCGAGGAACAGATAATGTCCAAGGACAAATATCCGAGCATATTTTTGGCCCTAAATGGAGAATATCACTCGGATATTCCCCAGTTCTACTGTAGTGCTTTCTGTTGCGATGGTCCATACAAATTTATGAATGTTTTAGATGACAGTAAGGTCCTCTTTACGCGACCCCGGGTTGCTTTTTATCCCGGGTTGAATCACCGCGGCGGGTAACCCTTTTGTAGTCAAATGTTTATAAGCGTTTACATTAAAACAGTAGTCAAGGCGGATCAACGCCCCTTGCCGGGTAACCCTTGTCGAAACTGAGGTTGATCCGGCGAGAAGGGTTGAAACTTCTTCAATGAATGAGTTGCCAGTAATCGGATACCGGTGTTTGCGCGAAGAACTCTGGGATCGTCAGGGGGCAAACATTGCTAGTCGCTAGAAGGAAATGTATGGC